GTTCAAATGCATGTATTTTAGTTTAGCTATGCTCCCCAGTGTAGGTAAGGACATAGAGTGTGTAAATAAATAACGCACCATTGTGACACATTCATTTGAAGACGTTTTGTGACACCTTCATTTACATTCATTTTTGTACTGTACTTTACGGTGTATATATGTATATAAATAAGCATATGTGTTTATGTATATGTGTATATGTGCATTGGTACATTACTATATGTCACGTGTATATTGTGGGGTTTTGTTTGTTATCTTTTATTAATCTTTCATTATTCTTCTCAGCCTCTCTTGTATTAAGCTGCAGTAACGTGCAAATTTCCAGACTGTGGGATCAATAAAGTTTTATCTAATCTTATTTTATCTTAAAAACAGTTTTTAGTCGGTACAAAACTGTTTTTAATTTTTATTTTATTTTATTATTATTTTTGCTATTGTAGTGGTCACCTCGAGTGAAAAAACAAGATTTACTGCCTCGAAGCAGGCCTTGGACAGGCCTGACGAGAGGACAGGAACTCTGTCACAAACTGAACTCTATTTAGGCCATGACAGGTCATCTCAACCGTTGAAGAGAACTCCTCAGTTATCTTAATCAGATAATGGACAGAACAATCTTTTCTGTTCGTGATTCATTTGTTGTTTAACTAAGAATGTTTATGCATTTGTTAAATCATGATAATGACTGTCACAAGAAAAGTGGAACCACTTCTTTTCTTTTATCGTGCCTTAAAAGATTAATAATGGCATAAAAAAATCAGAGAATCATTACAATGTTTTTATTGTGTTTTTATGTAAATCACTGTTTTTATTTTACTGTGAACACAGTAATATAATTGTGGCTTTTTCCTGAGAAAATCTTTCATTTATCTGGACTAACAGAACAGTTCAGATCTGATTATAAGAAAGAAATGTTAATTAATCATTTGCGGTGATTTCTCTTAGAGTCTATCAGAAGAAAGCTGAAAAAAGTTGATCATCCTGTTGTGAACAGCCATAGAATTTTAACCTTGGGCTGGCGCCCTGCCAAATTGTTTATCTTTCTTTCTCTGACTCATCTCTAAGCTGAGGGCGGAACCAAAGATCGTCCGTTTCTTTTACTAACCCGGACGGCTTTGAGTGACACACACTTCTTCCTGACTCCAACCTATGAAGAAAGCTAGGTTTTCTCTCCGGAGAAGAACTCAGTTTGGCTTTTAAGTCTTAGCCCATATACGGACAATATTTATGAATGTAGGCATGTATGTATGTATATCTTTATATATGTATGGGTATGTGTGTATT